TTAATTAACCCTTATATGAAGTAGTTAATACTTATATGCATCTTATATGCATCTTATAAGTGTCTTATTAGCTGTTAATTACTGCTTATTACAAGCACCTTAAAATAAAGTGTTACCTATTACTGTTTTCACTGTATTTTTGATTAAATAAATGTAGTCTCGGTGAGCATAAGAGACTTCTTAAGAAAACTCTAAATCAACAACTGCCCAACATACATGTGAACTCCTTCATTACTGTAAAAGGATCTCATGATGCAAGTTCTTCACGACGGATCTTTCTCTGTCTTTCCTCAGCTGAGTGTGGCGGTGTGTATAGGATTCTTTGCTGCGTGGAGTCCATACGCACTGGTGTCTATGTGGGCGGCGTTCGGCCGTTTTGACGACATCCCGCCCATGGCCTTTGCCATCCCTGCGGTTTTTGCCAAATCCTCCACCCTGTATAACCCTCTCATCTACCTCTTGCTCAAACCCAACTTCCGTCACCTCCTCTGCAAGGACATGCGCTCCCTGCGAGGGGTTTGCGTGCACCACTGCCTGTGCCAGTGTTTTCCCCGCCCATCACTGGCCCTCAGTCTGCGGCGACGAGGCCAATCCATCTCAGATTCAACGGGGGGGCCTGTAGGTCCATGTCACTGCCCTTGCGAGAGGTGCAATGACCCGTTTGAGCAGTTTAAGCAGTACCCACGCCGCTGTCCCGTCAAAGTGAACACTGTGCAGTTGTCTCTGCAGGACAGCACCGAACCTGAATTGGAGCCGGAACAAGAACCTAGAGTGATAACAGAAGTCAAACCAAAGAGCCAGTCAATGGAGTGTAAGAAGTCCGTGCGGGTGATCGTGAGGGGGCGGAAATGCTCCGAGGTTGACAGTCTGGAGATCACCTTGGAAACAGTGCCTGCTCACTGCAAAGCTGCCAATAACACCAAACCGTAACACCTGAGCCTATGCATGGGTGTGTGTTTATACTCGTGCGTAGAGTGTGTGTGTATTCGCTTGCCTCAGAGGGGAGTAAATAGACTTTCACATATGCCTCAATTTAAGGCGCTGAGAACAAATTTCTTTCCGAACAAATTCTTGTGTGTGTTATTGACATATCTGCAATGGAGTGCAATGATTGTTTTGTTATTTTAAGTAATTTTTTTTGGAAAAAGAGGTTTCTTATGGACAACTGACACAATATATGCATTTTTTAGCACATTGAATTTTTAAATGAAGTGTTATGCCTTCTTTGCTACCTGCTGAGGGAACAAACAAGTCGCTTTGATAAACGTGAAGGTGTACGTGTTGGAGAAACCTCCTTTCAAATCTCTGTTAGTGATATGCTTCAAATTTTGACAGTATTGACATCCATGTTTATATTCATTCACACTCATGTAGTATCTACACTCTTAGAAGAATAGCTTCTATCTACCTTAAAGGGTTTTGTAAGGCTCTTCATATATAGAACATTTTAGGTGTTCCCATAATGGGATAATTTTATGGATTTGGTTTTAATTAATGATTTTTTAAATTATATGTTATGAATTAAACCACTTGTAAATGTACTTTATCACTAGAACAAATTGAAATGACCCATTAAACATGAAAGTGTATTATCATTTAATACACGTCTCCTTATATAGAACCTTTTTTTTTTTTTTTTTTTAGAGTGTAATTATAGTTTTAATTACTTTTGTTTCTACTATCTAGACAATATGGAAAGACTTTCAGACAGGGTCCAAACATAACCCTTAAAAATAAATAAATAAATAAAATAATTGCGAACTACTACATGATTCATATTACGCACATTAAGCCACCAAAACGGGAAAATGATAAACAAAATCACAATACTGTAAGCAATTCTACAGAGAAATGCACTGCATCTGAATACTTCCATACTATGTAGTATATGCGAAAAACATGTGAGCCGAGTAGTTTGTCCGAATTCGTTGTATTTATAAAACAGTATGCAAACACCTTCAATAGCATTCAATGGACACTTTACTATCCCATGAGGCCACGGGAGATGATTTGCGAATGGCAATGAAGCAACGCAACTGATGGCGTTGGTCACATGAGAGTGACAATATGACGGATGTAGTACATCCGAATTTCATTCATAAATCACATATAGAAAATGTTTAACGTAAAGGGCGTTTCAAATCACATGTACTCATGTGGTTGTGTCAGTATGCAAGAGAAAAAATTGTTTAAAGGACAAAAATATACCTTTGTTTTGATATAAAAAAAAAAAAACGCAAAATACATTTTAATCAATGATATAAAATATTGATGTCCAGTGAATTTTCACTTTCTATTGGCAGATGTGGCAAAAAGCTAATTTTCGACACTGCTTTTGGATCTATTTTGTGTGTATCTTATGTGATTCCTACAAGGATCTGCACTGTAAAAAAATATTTTTATGATTTGTCATGAGTTTTTATTTTTTATAACCAATCTCCTTCATTGTATTAACTAAATGTTTTATTTATTTCACTTAACTTAACATTTTAAGGCAACCAGGTATTTTACTTTTTTAAGTTAAACCAAAAAAAAAAAAAAATACAGTGTGGGTGTTTGCTTATCTGACCATGGATTCAGGGAAACACTGAGTGATATCCAAAATGATCTAAAAATATGAAGTATATATGTGTGTTATAGTTGTATGTGTTGAACCTCTCAATTTTTCAAGTCTTTTTTATTCAGTCACGCATCTCTATATAACTGTATTTTTGTACAAGTAAAATTGCACTGTCAGCTTCATTCAGTTGCCAACGAAGAGCTCATTTGATTGGCACAGGCTCTTTAAAAAAGATGGACCAAATATCATATGCCATATGCTTTTTTATTATTTATTAAAACATTTATTCCAATCAAAAGTATTTTGGATATAAGTAGCTATTTATTTAAATTCACTGCATTTGCTTATTTATAAATTCCATAATTATTTAGTTATTCATTTAAGTCAAAATATATATATATATATCCTGTGGAAAGAACCTTAGTCTGAAAGATCATTACTGGACTTAATTACTTATATGTAATTACTTAAGTAAAACCCTTTAAATGTGGCTAATGTCTCTGAGTGATGTGCATTGCATGATTGGAGGAATATCATTTACATCAGCCCCATGTTTTCTGTGCTGCTTATGAGTTAAAATTTGGCTTTTTTTTATTCTTTCTTTTTTATATATAAAGCCTCATTACAGTTGCAAAAAAATAAGACTAAAAATGGGTAAAAAGAAGAGTAAAATAAAATGACGAAAAGTTATGTGTCAGTCTGTTTTTTCTCAGTGACAGTCAGACATCAGATAGCCTACATAACACTTCACACAAATAAGAAATACAACTAAAAAAATAGTAACAATTAATATTTACTTTTTTAATAACTTCAACTTAAAAACTAAAACTTATTAAAAAGCCAATGAATAGTTGTTTACAGTTGTAGTACATTGTACATTCATTGTAAAAATGATTCAATGTTTTGTACATGAACTTCTATGTGATGTGGATAAAGAAATAGTGAGAAACTAAGACGTGAACCTCTGTGTTTGCGGATGTGTTTGGTTTGATCATCTTTTCAGCACTCTTGAAGTGCTATTTTAGTAATCTGCCATGTTTGTTGACTGACAGCATGCATGTGAAAGCTAATAAAAGTGCTTTTGCGTGTGAATTTCAGCTGAGTGTGTCAGAAGTATATGTGGCCATGAGCATTTTGAGCACTGAATATTTTCTCCATAATCATATTTTATAACCATGCTGTCTATCTAATTCACTTTTTTTCATGCTGAGCGAATATGTTCTGTCCCCTACAATGCAACCCAACTTTCTGCATTTTTACATCACGATGACATTAATGATAGCCTAATTCACCTTTGGCTAAGCCCCGCCCCCCTTAGTTACTGTCGCTATGTCCGTCAAGCTACGCCGCTCTCACGCACACACCATGTTCTCAAGCAGTGAAAAATACATCGCGGAGCAGAGAGGAGACTGACAACACGCTGACAGACAGACCAGGTTACTATTCGGTTACTTTTCATATTAAACAAAGTCTCACCTTTCAAATTTGGTCATTTTTTAAAAGAAATTTAAACAATAATGTTGGACTGTGGCAAGCAACACGGTTGGCGGTAACGTTAGTCACCTTCAAAACTACCACAGCGTGTCTGTAACATTAAGGTTAGGTGTTTGTATCTTGAATAACAAAGTTAGCTAACATCCAGCCGCTACTCAAAACATACAATCCTGACTTACGTTAACGTTACGTGATAACTAAACTATTAGGGGTGGTTAATCTGTCTGATTTCCCGATTCGATTCGATTACGATTATTGAAGTCCCGATTCGATTACAGTCGATTTTCGATTATTAACGATTCTCGGTTAGTGATTATTGATTTTCCATTTCACAACTATGAAAATACACTACAAAGTGAAACTATTGCTAAGCTTGCTTGCTAGCACCTTCCTTCATTAATTAGGGTAACCTTAGAGAACCGAAATCATAACCTAACAGCATAACACTGTCTAACTAGTATAACTTCACATTAAGGTTAAAAGCAACATTTACTTTAGAGCACACAAGTGAGCTTGTTGAGGGGTTTAACGTAGCTCAATATTATGCAGCGCCTCCTGCTGTTCGAAAGATCGTATTACACCCGCACACAGAGTACCCTACAGCGCACGCTTATCCAAATGCAAAACAATAGGATGCAATATTACGGTCTCCAAATAAATGATCCAATAAATATTTGCGTTCCCTGTTTAATGCATGTGCCAAAAAAAAAAAACTCATTGCGATGGAAGGGATACAATTACAGATTGAACTATCTTCTGAAAAATAGTATGTGATATTATATTGCTACAATGTTTTTTTTATATTTTTTTATTCAAATTCCAATTTTTCTTTCAGTTCAACCTATAATGGTCTAATTAACATTACCATGCTAACATTACAAAATCTGTTTTTTGATATTTTGAATGCGAAGCAAAACAAATCAGAATAGACAAAACACCAATAATAAACAATTCTGTACTTTATTTAATGATCACCTAAACATCATCTTGCTGTAAAGAAAAAAGGAAGAAAAAACTGTGTTCGTGACTTTACTTTTCGTCTTCAATTGCATTAAAAAAAACTAATTTATAAGTCGCTTTGCATAATCATAAAATGATATGTTGCTGGGTTCGGCAGGGGCGACTCCATCGATGTATGGTGTACCCTGGAATAGCCTACAACAGTATAGGCCCAATAGCACATGTCTTATGATGTTTCAAAAAGAAAGAAAAAAGATGTTTGCAAATGTTACCTTCATGCTGAAGTGTCCCTTGAGGTGTTTTTGAACTTTGGACAACTTTGTGGGTTTGAAATATATGGGGGCACAAAATGGGCAGTGAAAATAACTGCAGCATTTATGACATCTCTACAAAAAGTCCAAAGTTAAAGGCTAACGTTAGCTATCAAAATATTTTCGGGGGGAAGAGGGCGAAAAAACATACATTAACGGCTCAAATCTTGTTACAAACTATCTTTACAAATATTAAATGGACTATTTTGTCTCGAAAAACGAGGGGTCTGAGAATGCGGGACTCTGGGTGGAGGGGGACTGTAGATGCAGGCTCCGAGTCTGCAGCTTCATACTACTCTCCAAAGACGACACTTGTCAGGATTTGACTTCGGTTTTGAGAAGGAAAAAAAACCGGACACCCCCCTCCAACCTCTCTGGAAAACGCGTATCTGTGTTACAAATGCCCCAGGCACAACGTTTAACCATATTTTTGATAAACTACGACGGTAATAGCCTGCCGAGACCAAAAATATGAGACGCCTGTGTTAAAGCTCCAGTCGGCAAGTCTGGCAGATTGAGTGGATTTTTGAAAATTTTGAATGTTTACAACTCTCATGCCCCTCCCCCACTATCAACGGATACCCTCCCACCCAGTTCATGCTCCTCAGTGCGTGTGCACCAGATTTTCAGTGAACGCCAGGGCTCTCAAGTGTCACTCATTTCGGTCTTTTGTCACGCTCTCCCGCCACACATTGTATTTCTCACGCTGAAAAACTATTTGAAATATATTTAATATGCCGCAGCGCCCAAAACTCTGGCCGCGCCGCTCTCACTGTGGAACCGGCATGAATCAAGCGCGTTTCCTCTGGTGTTGTTCGTCGAGCTACACAATAGCCAATCAGAAAATAGCACTATTGTATCTGGGTAAGATTTAACGCAACAACCAATGACAAAAATGTATCCAACCCCCCGTCGGCTGGGTGTCACTCTTACCTGTCTTCAAAACTTGAGAGCCCTGGAACGCGCCCGTCTCATCAGCATCCATCAACACCATGGAGTATTGGAGGTATGCTGTCCTGGCTAATGTACCGATAGATTGCAATTGCTAACGTCATTTATACTCTAAATGAGCGTACTTGATTTTCCGCCATCACTCTTCGTTACTGCGCGAACTTCCGCGAACTTCAGGCGTGTGCATGTGATTGTAACGTGCGCCAGGGGTGGCGTGTGCCCGATCTGTGATTGACAGTCAGATCTCACACCCCCCTGCGCTGATTGGACATGATGAACCGGGAGCTGTGGATTTTTGCAAAACAAATAACACGCTCCAGGTGGAGTTAGAAGCTCGGGGTTTTTTTCTAAAACCACTTTATTTATGTTGTTCTGTCAGATTATAGTCTCGATTTCACTGAATATGATCAAAAAAATGTTGCCGACGGCAGCTTTAAAGTCAATGGAGCGCTGTGAAAAAGTGTCGGACCTCTGTGGGAGCTCGTTCTTGGCTGCGCTGTGATTGGTCAACCTACATTCTAGGGTGTGGCTTAGCCAAAGGCGAATTATGCCACCAGTGTGATCCTGAAATGACCATAAACGCATATGGATAGATAACAACAACAACAAAAAAATGCACATATGATGGTTTCATGCATGCATGTTTAAGGTTTACAAAAGAAAGAGAGATCCATTTCAATAATCTTCAAAATCAAATAGTTTCAGTAAAGTCCAATGCGACAAGTCCACTTTTTTTTGGTATAAAGCTGCTAAGTAAAGATAAGGTTTTTTATATTACATACTGTATCAATTTTAATGCTCTAAATCGGCAAAATATCTCTGTGAAGTTCTAAAGCTGTAATTTGTAATAACTTAATCCTGCATGCTTTCAGTTCCTGACACTCTTTCATTCCTTCATGACAGAACATAACGTTAATGTGGAATGAGAGCCGTGTCCATTTTGATATTAAATAACACAAAGGCAGTGAATTTATTCTGTACCTTAAATACAGTTTTCCATTGGACAGATTGTGTGTGATTGGGCATGATAAATATAATCTGAACCTGCAAACATCGAAAGACACTAATGCATGCAGATTTAAGGTATCATCACCATGGCAACCAGGCTGTTTATCAGCATGTGACATTTCTTGCCGGTGCAGAAAAAGACAGCAAGCAAACACACAAACCTGTAGGCCCATATATGAATCCTGATTCAGTCTCCAATTTAAACCTATTGTTGTAACCTGGCCCTTTAAGTCCCTTAACTGCCTGCTGTGCTCTTGTAGCTTATTGGTTGTTCAGCTACGCACTCCTTAGCATAGAGCAGGAAGTGAAGTTAGTGGTTGTTCTTAGAGGTTGCTCGCATGCTCATCGCACGTCGGAGAAACTGCCGTCCAGTGCCGGAGCAAGAGCGCCTATCAGCTGCAGCAACCGATATAAGTTTGTGTTCATGAATGTTGGTGAGTGCGCTGTGAACTGTAACTTACATCTGTGTCCTAAGATCTTCAGTAAAACTTGTGAAAGCATCTCCTTGTCGTGGCTCATTCCACCCGCGTTTCCATGTGCAGTATTGTCAACAACACGACAACTGGTGTCAGAAGCGGGACTGTGTTTGAAACAACGTGAATTAACCCAGAAGAATATCGGATATCGATTAAAAAAAGTGGATGCTGCAGTGGCATGCTAATGTGTTAGCGCTTCACTTGAGGCCGGAGGCGCGAGTTGGCTGACGTCATCGCGCCCGATGAGAACCGTGTTGACTCAACTACACTGAATTGCCAGAGACATTAAGAAAATCAAATGCTCCTGGAGGTCGTCTGTAAGGATGATTGACTGAAATAAAAAGTACGACAAAACTATATGGATAAAAAGCCCTTCACCATTCTTCAATACCAGGCAGTTCACTGGTAGCCGGAGGCGCGAGTTTGCTGTCGTCCTCGCGCTCGCACCCGATGAGAACCGTGTTGACTCAACTACACTGTGAACTGCCAGAGACATCAAGGAAACCAAATGCTCCTGGAAGATTTTTGTGAGAATAATTGACTGTAAAAAGAAAAAGAAAAGAAAAAAAGCTATCTAAAAAGAAAAGAAAAAAAAGCTATCAAAAAAAAAAAGCTATCAAAAAAAAAAAAAGCTATCAAAAAAAAAAAAAAAAGCTATCAAAAAAAAAAAAAGCTATAAAAAAAAAAAAAAGCTATAAAAAAAAAGAGAAATATTACAACATGTCCCAGGAAGATTTATACCAAGGAGCAGCAGCAGCCCCTGATCCCGACCAACCTCCAGAATGGTTGAAGGCAATGCTTGAAAATCAGAGCAAGAATAATGAGCAACTGCGAACAATGATGACTCCAATATTGCACCATATTGCAAGTAGTACCCAAGCCCAGCACACATCCATGTCCACTGCAGCTAGGTGGGACACCCGTGAGAGCTTGCAGCCCACTGTCAGAGATAAGCGAATGCCTTACAGTGATTCACAGTTTCCCTTGGATAATCCAGAGAGGTCACGCAACATTACAAGCGGACCGTTTGCTGCTGAGCTGGACGTCATACAACAGAGAGCACGTACTTCAGGCCCCACCAGAGCTACCCCATCCATAGAGACAGGTGTTAGGCAACGAAATAGTGAGCATGGCTCTCAGCTACTGCCACCTACCTACGCTTTTGAACAAAGACACAACATTCCTCATCATCAAGGCCAACCCGTTTCTCATGAGGGTCCCAGAGCAAAGCTTGCTATTTTTTTTTTTTTTTTTTTATAAATTTGTTTATTGATTTTTCCAGTGACATAACAAAATCAAGAGGTAACAATTCGGGAGTCAAAACAGTGTCAAATACAACTAACAAGAAATTAAAATAAAATAAAGAAATAAAATACAAAAAACAACCCCCAAAAACAAATAAACAGAACAAAAAAAAAACACACAAAAAAAACAGTCACCCACTGCAAAATAAAAGCCCAATATGTTCACTTACAGCAGTGGTTCTCAACCTCTCCTGCAGGGACCCCCTGACAGGCCATGTTTTTGTTTTAACTCTGAAATGGCACACCTGATTCAAGTAATTAAAGGCTTAATGAGTAATTAGAGTAGGAATAGTTCAATTAATCAATTAGTCAACTACTCATTAAGCCTTTAATGACTTGAATCAGGTGTGCCATTTCAGGGTTAAAACAGAAACATGGCCTGTCAGGGGGTCCCTGCAGGAGAGGTTGAGAAACACTGACTTACAGAGAGATAAATAAAAAACATCCCAGCATGCTACAAATTCCCACAAGAAAAAAAACTCACAATTAGAAGACAATCAGGGTGGCTACTCTGGAATAGCTGTAAAAGTCAATCCCTCAACATGTGCAAAAAATGGACCCCAGGTTTTATTAAACTTTGCAAGAGAACCATGTATCGAGCACCTAACTTTCTCCAACTTCACGAACTGAAGGATGTCCCTGATCCAAGACGAGTGAGAAGGCGGCGCAGGAGACTTCAACCTCAATAAAATCAAACGTCTAGCCAATAAGGAGATAAAGGCTACAAAGTCAGCTTTATATTTAGGAAGCTGCAAAGTAGGAGGCAAAACCCCAAACAAAGCGGTACATGCTGTTGGGTCAAATGGAACAAAGCTTGCTATTTTTAATGGTACTGGGGACTGGGAATCGTTTCTAGTACCATTTGAACGGCAGGCCAGAAAGTTTGGATGGAGTGGAGCCCACAGGGTGGACTATTTACATGAATGCCTGAGGGGGGCAGCAATTAAGTACGTCTGTTCACTTCCTGAGCATATTCGAGAGGACTACACTCTTCTGAAAGAGCAGCTAACTCAACGTTTTGGTCAACGAGACCCCCCAACCACAATTAGGAGGAAGCTTGGAGAACTCCACCAGTTCAAAGAGTCGGCAGCAGAGTTCGGTGAAGAGGTACAACGCTTAGTCACCTTAGCCTACCCTGGTGTGGACCTCGATCTGCAAGACCAACTTGCCACAGATTTCTTCCTCAAAGGGCTTCGTAACCAAAAGGTGGCTTATGAAGTAAT